TGAAAAAGGACTTTTTATTGTCCTTGATGCTCAAAGCTAGTTGGAGTTCAGTTGCAGCCTTGGCTTTCCTGGTCTGCTCCCTACAGGACCGGACCAGTGCAGAATAATCCTCCTTGGAGGTGACTCCCATCCTCCACCCTTTGTAGGCCTTTCTTTTTAGCCTCAGGAGATCTGCTAGGTCCCTGGAGAGCCAGTGGGGCTGCTGTGCCCTCTTGCTGCCTTTCCTCCGAGATGGAATAGACTTAGTTTGTGCATTGAGGATCGCTCCCTTGAGGAGCAACCACTCCTCTTGAACTCCCTTCTCCCTGTGGTCACGGTCCCTTAGGGCCTCACTGACAAGCCTCCTGAGCTTGTCCAAGTCGGCTTTCCTGAAATCAAGGACTTGCGTGTTGCTGACCGACTTGCCAGCTTTTCGGCGGATGGTGAAGGTGATCAGCTCGTGGTCGCTGTCACCCAGCTTCCCATCGATCACTAGGTCGCCGACTAGGTCATCCCCAGTAGCCAGTACCAGGTCGAGCCGTGCAGACCCCTTTGAATTGTAACTGTGGGTATTCACATACTTCTGACTGATCATAGTCATCTTTCACAGACTCAGACATAGTCAAGGGGTCTGTGGACCAGAGGTTAAAAACCACTTCCACAGACCACAGGTTGAAAACTACTGCCTTAGAATAATGATGTGTCCTGGGAAATGTTACCCCACCCAATGACACAGCAATACTTGAATTCAGTAACTGCTTTTTCAGTTGAGTCATTATTAATGGGCTGCTTTTTTTGGCAGAGGAGATATAAATGAAAGGGTCACACCTATGTGAATACTCAGAACTGCTCATGCAGTAGTCCCACTAAAATGCCTTAATTAGTTTGGCTGTCCCACTGCTAATCACTGCTTGCCTTTTTTCCAGTTACATCTCACCTCATCTCTGTCCATCAGATCAGGCCACTATCACTTAACAAGCTGGAATAGGAGAAGGCTCCGCCAACTGCATGCCTATGAAGGCCAAGGGAGCTCCACAAGTGTTGGGAGCAAGGATATCCCAGCTGTTTTTTCTGGACATAGGTCTTTTCCACTGCTGTTCGTCCAGTATGACACTGCACTGAGTTTCCATCAAGTCCGTTCAGCAAAGTGACAGTCAGATAGCATGATAGTTCATAGCAAATAATTGGGGAGTTGTCATTAGATTAAATTACAAACAAACCAAACACCGTTTTACAATGTTTTCCCAGGACTTCTTCAAGAGAGAAGCTCGAAGCCTTTTGGGACTCCTTGATGCTTCAGACTTGAGGAATGCAGTGCAGGCAGTAGGTAGGTTTAACTGTATGAAACTTTTCCCAGTCTGTTGACACCCAAAATATGGGAAGGATGAAGCTGGGATGGGGGGAGAGGGGTTAGGAGAGAAGGGAGAAAGAAATGAAAAGTAGGAGGAGGGTGGTGGGAATTGTCTGGAAGCTCTTGTTAGTCAGATGTAGTACTTTCATTCTGGTTTTGGTATAGGTTTGAGATCTGTATAGAAAAAGAACATAATGACCAGCATCCACATCTCTGTCTAACCAAACCAAAAAGATAATTTCACAAGGAAGCTCTTTCCCCAGCTGCTAGCTCTGCTGTACTAGAGTCGAATGAAGCATTGTTGAACTGACTGCTGGTGATGGACATCTGCCCTGGGGCAGGAAGGCCAAGGATCAAAGAGACCAAGGAGCGAAGTAGGCCTGGAGACTAAATTATCCTTTGACTCACAAAGAAGTGGCCTCTCTAGGTTAGGCTAAAATACATGGCAAGGGGGAAAGGAGCAAGTAACCTATGTTAGTTCATTCATTTGATCTCTCCTGGGCTCTGAATCATTCTTTAGGAGAAAGCTACATTGATAGACCTTTTAGTTAGTTTGCACTGACCTCTGTTGGCTAGACTTATCTTCAGATTTTAAGCAAGCACACCGGTTTCTGTCATGTGGCTGAATTCTTCTAGCTGAATCCTCTTACTGAGGACTTTGTACATCACACAGGAAACTACTCTCCTATAACACTGCATTAGCGGTATTTCCATATAGTTAAATAGCTATTTCAGCTGCACTACCCTCTTTTAATTTCCTTTTACCCCATGGGGAACTTTGTAGAAAACGTAATCAATGAAGGTCACAAAACTAGTGGATTTTTTTTTCAGAAGGAAGATAAGGAAGGTAAAACATGGCCTCTAGAGACGAAAATTCCCTAAGGGGCTATGGGCAAAAGGCTATAGGGTCTTTTATCTGGAACATATCACTAATATGTCAAATAGTAAAGGAAGCAGCAAGAATGATATCATAATAAAGGCACTAGAGTGTAAAATATGGAGGAGAATTGCATGTGGTGCAGTCCTTGCAGCCCAAACAGTACAGATACAGAATGGATAGAAAGGGGAATAAACGTAATTGGCAAATTCAACACATTTTCCCCTATAAGAAGTTTTTAAGGGAAGAGTACAAACAGCACCTTGCTTCTTCCTCTACTGTGCAGCACAGGCCAAACTCTTGTAGGCCTGAGGGAAGTGCCTCCCTTAAGTTTTTGTAAAGGTGGCAGCAATCAGATCTACAGGGCCTCCTTAAGCCTGCAAGCAGCCCCGGTATATCCAGGTAGCAACCCCTGTTGCTAAATACGGGAGAGGGTTCAGCATGTGTCGAAGTGTTTGAAGGCTACGTGTATACAGCTAGGTATATGCTTACTTTAAATTAGGGCATTAATGGTTAAAAGATAATAATAATGGTCTGGGTCCTTCACTGATACGAATCAACCTTGCTTCACTGACTGCAATGCTGCCTGGCACCAGGTGAAGATCTCTCTCTCTCTCTCTCTCTCCCTCTCTTTCTCTCTTTACATATATATATACACACATTTAAGAGCTAGCTATAAGCATCAAAATGATTGGAAAGCTACACATCACATTACAATAGCTTCACATCCAGCAATTAAAAAGCTGCCCTCTTAAAGCTTAAGTAAAACCAGCCAAGGTGATTTGACCATGAAAGGGGAGAAAGAGGAAGGGGTAAAGAGTAGAAGAAAGCTATACATAAGGCCAGAAGTAGATATACTGGAACATGTCCTTGGAGTCAGAAGCTTTTAAAGATTCTTTTCACATTGGGAACAAGGAGAGCCTGACAGAAATGGATAGCAGGGCAAATGAGCTACAAGCCCCTGAACTGACCACACCAAACTCCCGACCACTTGTTTAGTTACAGATGTGACTATGGGATCCTTCGATGTTGTCTTGAGGAAAGATTCCAACATACCTCCTTGAGTCCAGGCTATCTGGATAGTAGGCAGACCTTCTGTTTCAAAGCGCTTCATCCAGCATGCTTCACTGCCTGAAAAGGATTAACAAAAGAGATGAGATGATTCTTGCCAGAGTGGATTAAAAAGCTCCCCATGCAACTAGGTTACATAAGAGGAAAATATTTTTGTGTTTATTTAACATGAAGGCAAGCTATGACATTTCCTTTTAGTATAAATTTACTTAAAATGTGCTAGTATAAACTTGTTACATGCTATTGCAATAAAATATTAAGCAGTATATTTTTGCTGATACAGAAAAATCAAACCACTGAACTCCTAGGAGTCACTGACTAAGCACTAAAACCAGGGCTGATGGTGGTAAGGATTGTTTCTGGGGGAGGCGTGGAGGTGGGGGATTTATACTAAACCAGCTTCTGACAGCAGTGGCTGCTGCAGCAGATGCAGAGTATTTTCTTCTTTTCTGCTTATTCAACTGGTTCAGGTAGATGACCAGTTCATTTAAGTTGATAAACCCATTGGGAGTTGAAAAAGCAGGAAAGTGTGCTTTCCTCTTCCATTCTATGACTAAAATTAGGTTTGACAGGGCAAGATCTACTAATGCTAAAGCCTTGAAGGACATGGAGACCATAGACCAGAACGCTGCTTTCAGTTCCTCTGCACAGATACTACTTTTAATAAAGCAATTTAAAATGTTAACCATGTTTACCTAAAAACTAATTGTTTTAATGTATCCAGCCTATTTAAGTTAGCTTTAACTAATGGAAATGCAATTTAAGATTGCTATTTGACACATTTTTAATTAAATTCCAGTTTTCATCCAAACAGAGCTTGACAGCTATTGAATAAAAATTAATTGTCCAGTAAAAAATAGAAATGCACCATTCTCTATTCTCTAACATTATAGAAGACATACAAATTAAGAATCAAATAAGTGTGTTCAGCTATATAACTGCTTGAGTAAATGTACATGGATACAGCACTCTTGGTTAGGAAAAAAGGTGACAGATTTATTGTAAATTCTATATTTGTGAACATATTTTAATGCCTACCAACCAGTGAGAATCAATCTATCCTCCTTCTTCTTCATGAAAATAAAAAAGTACAAATGAAAAAGAAGATTAAAGTTGATGATTAAAATCAAGGCTTCTTGCTTGCTGATTTAAACCATGATAAAAATTGGCTATTTATGTCACTTTGATTCAAATCAATCCACTCCAGTTCTTGCTCCTAAATACAAGGCTGCGGTGATCTCCAGATATGGGAATGGGAAGGACCTATCTAATACCACTTGTAGAGAATGGCTGGACCCTGGGATGTCCAGTGGCCACCATTTTCACTGTCTTCTCCACTTCTTTTTGTAGACGTCGCTGCTACTGAGCAGCTCCTCCACCTCATGGCTCTGAGATATGGCAACTCCTCCCGGAAAATCAACTTCCCTGATTTTGTGTGTTGCATGATCCGGCTTGAAACAATGGCAAGTAAGTCAAACCCCTACCCGGAAAGCTAAGAGCTAGTATTTTTTAGGGTACCTGGGGTGTAACAAAGAGTGCCTTGAGTCTAAATAAAGTGAGGGGTATCCCTGACAAAGAGTGAACCTGCCATAATGCAGGGGCTGGACTTGAGGTTCTGGGCAACTGAATCAATTAATCTGACCCAGGGACAGATTCCCACCCAATGGTCTCATGTGTTGAGGTAGTTATCCCATAAATAAGCAGTTCAGCAGTGGAAGAAATCAATTGGTTGGGATCACTATGGGCACCTTCCCTTTGAGGCTTTGCAAGATATTTGCTTTTCCTACGAGTGGCTCCATCAGCTAATACTGACCATGAGGTACACTATTACAACACATTTACTGGCTGCTCTGGCTCTGTCATGTCCTGGAGCATCCAAATCCATTTGGTGTGTGACCCCATCAAGATTTGGACCTGTGGTATAAAGGATGTTGCATGCAGTTTATTGTGCTGCTGCCATGAGCCCTCCCATCCCAATCTGAGCTGGGAGGGGGGGAAGCCCGTGATCCACCCCATTTACCATGAGTCTGTGACCTAACTATGTCAAAAGTCCTACCACTTCCAACCTAAAAGACAGCTCAAAGCCTTGCCCATTCCCTAACCTTAATTCTAATTCTTACCCTAGCCTGGGCTGCTCCAAGTGCCCCATACCCAGGCCCAGGCCCAGGCTGAGAACCAGAATCTGAGCACAACAGCTACCTTGGAGAGCCCCCAAGCTCTATTGCTAAACCTAGCCACAAGATACCTAACTGTGGTACTGTTACAGTGCCCTCTGTAGCAAAGGAAACTTTCCAGCCCCAAGCCTGACCACTGCTGGGAACACTCCCCCCTGTAACTTGGGGTAGGAGGCCTAGGATCCACTCTGCTTACCATGAGCCTGGATCACCCTACATACCTATGCCATAATCGTAGCTCCAGGGGTCCTAACCCCAACTAGAAAGAGAGCCCAAAACCTTGCCTATTCTCTAATTCGGACCCTAACTTTCCATTGTTGGAATCACATAGGCCTGGTTCTACAGGCTTCCAGGGAGGGGACCCTTTAAATAAACTGGGTCTTAAGTTTGCCTGTATTAGTTGGACTAAGGACTGTATTGGTTAGCATTTATGTTCCAATCAACCTTTTGCCTTCTGGCCTGCAATAGAACTATATTTGGAGTGATGGGTTTGGAGAAGACCAAGCTGTATTTTGGGGAGGACCACATCAACTATGTGAGAGGAAGGAGGAAACAGGGCACCTTTGTGCCATAGAAGAGGCTTATTGTAGTGCTTAGGAGGCAGAGCTTGAGTACCAATCACAGAAGGCTGAATGGCAAGTACCAGAGCGCTGTTCTGCCCAGGTAGTTTCCAGTGATCTCAGTGATAATTATTTCTACACTCAATATCCTGGCAGCATGGAATAGAGACTGACAGGGCTGTTGCAGAGCTGAAGGCAGGAATAGATCTAGGGGGATTGTGGGTGGTACAGCCACTTGTCTTCTCCATTTTCCCCTGCAACTGAATTTGGGGTTAGGCAAGGGATAGGAGCAAATAGTACCAGTAGCATTCATCTCCTGGGTTCCCAAGCTGTGCCAGCATATCCTCTGGCAGCAATGCTAATGAGCTAGTGTGTTCAGAGAGATCACTGTCCACGCACTGCAAAGCCAAAGTGAGTGCATATGGGAATGCACCCCCCCACCACCCACACACATCAAGCCATCTATGACTAAAGGTCCCCTTTGTCAATTTGATGCTCTTGGGCTTATCAGAGAAGAGTGACACAGTCAGCACATCGTTTGAGACTCTCCCATTTTAATGCTTTTTCTCATTAAGAAACAGAACCCTTAAAAGCCCTGCCTTTCCAGGATGATTTATATCTTCTTCATTTCATAGCTGGATTCTTACAGCAAGAGAAATATCCAGTTTTGTGTCTTTTTCTAATAAAAATGGTTTAATAAAAAACCTCTTGCATAGTAAGTGCCAATATAAAGACAACTCCTTAAAATCCATTTTGAAAGGAATCACTAAAAGTTTCATTGCTGTCCATAATGAATACCTAAAATGCACTCCAGTCTTTCAATTATCATTTTACACAAAGTTTAATGTATCATACATTCTTTTTTTCAAACACTTCAAATTACTGTGAATAAGAATTTTTTTCAGGAGACGATAACTGCCAAAGAAGTATAAAAGACAGTCCAATTTTATGAGTATGTGAATAAAGAAGAGAAGATAAAATTTGCCCCATTAAATCATTATTCTTCAGATAACGAGCAATGAAACCTAAACCAAAACCAGCTTCCACTTTGCTGATCAAATTTTAAATGGAAGTAGAGAAGCACTGCAATGTATTATTTCTCTCCAGAATCAGGTAGCATTGCTGCTTCATGTGAAGAGGAAGAGGCTTACTCCTAAATACAACCATATCAGGGAAGCTGCTTACGGGGGACTGCTACCCAGCCACATGGAAAAGGCAGTGTAATACCGCTTATGCAGGCCTCTCTGATCTTTCTATATAACTTTCTTTAGCTCAGGGTTCATTAGTACAGACAGTTCCTATTAGGTAGCTCTGAACCAATACAGGGTCTCAATAACAGAGATTCCACAAATGTTGTATGCCAAATATGTTCTTGTGATAAAGCATCCTAGTATTAGGATGTATCAGGGCTGTTCAACTGGTGGTCTGCAAGCTCCATCTGGGCCACAAGAGGTGAATGCATGGCCTGCAGGATTCTTCCCAACTGCTACTCCTCCCCTTGCTCCTGCTGTTGTGGTAGTCAGGGTCTCTGGGGCAAGGAGTAAGCCCAGAGATCCCGCCACCTGCCCAATGTTAAAGGGGGAGCTTATGCTGCCTGCACAGTGCATCATGAAGGGGGTTTGCACTGCTCATGTGGTGTGGCAAGGGGCATGTGGTATGGGGGGCTTTGCTTGCCCACATAGCATGCACTCTTAGTCTTGCAACCATGGTGGCCTGTGGTCCTCAGAAGTTGCACAGCGCTGGATTATGAAATTAGGAAGAACTTTCTAAAATTTTACTTGTTGCAATTTAAATCCATTATTTCTTGTTCTAATCCCAGTGGACACAGAACAAGTGGTCACCCTCCTCTTTATAACAACCCTATTTGTATCTGAAGACTTAACAAAGCCTCTCTCAGTCTTCTCTTCTCAAAGCAAAATGGTCCTGATTCCTCTACCTCGTCCTGTGTCATGTTTGCTAGAACCCTGTTCATTTTTGTTGCCCTCCTCTGGGCTCTTTCTAATTTGTTCGTGTTTCTTGAAATGTACTGCTTTAAAAGGGCACAAGTGAGGCCTCCCTAGTGCTGAACTGGACTGGAGGGATGATTTACAGGCTGTAAACTTGTTCCCTAACCTTGGATCTTCCAATGAGGCTTGAGCTCTGAGATTTAAAAAAAAAAAAATGTTTACATTAGATCTGATGAGAACTGGATAAAATGTATCTTTGTCTCCAAAGAGGATGGACCTAGACTGTTCTCAGTGGTGGCAGGTGACAGAGGAGCAATGGTCTCAAGTTGCAGCAAGAGAAGTTTAGGTTAGAAATGAGGAAAAACTCTCACTAGGAGAGCAGTAAAGCACTGGAACAGGTTACCCAGAAAAGTTGTGCAGCCTCCATCCTTGGAGGTTTTTAAGACTCAGCTAGACAAAGCCTTGGCTGGGATGATCCTGGCCTAGACCTCCTGAGGTCCCTCCCAGCCCTAACTTTCTATGATTCTGTGATTTGCTTAGACCAAGTTTTGAAGCTTCCTGTAAAACAAAATATAGTTCATGACTGAAGTGTTCCATTCTGATTTGAGGTCCCTAGTTTTACATTTGCTTATAACAAGTTCCAGAGAGAAAAATAAAATCAAAATCTTCCATTTTGACCTTATCAATGTAGTTTGATTTTTTTTCCCCTAGTTGAAATTTTTCTGAAATGGAAACACTCCCAGGACATGAAACATTTAGATGAATCAGGATTTTCTCACAGAAAAGTTTTTCGTCAGAAAGTTTTCAGCCAGTTCTAATTTCAACAGCTAGATAAATGAGAACAGCGTTTCACAATTGCTCTCCTCAGGATAAACTTCCAGGGCTTATTAATGACAGCATGCAAGTGACATTTCAGGTCATACAGTGATCACTAGCTGCCAGTAAATGAATGTGAGGAAGAAAAAATTCGCTTTGTAGTGAAAGACTTTTCATAGGTTTCCTGTGTCTCTGGAAGTCTTCAGGCATCAATGAGCATGGGGAACAAAAAAGTGGAGTGGATGAAACTGGTTCGATTCCATTTCAGAATTGCAACAGCTTTGCTTTCACGTGTTTTAAGCTCCTCCTAACAGTCTAAAGCTTTCTTTGTTCTCTCTAGAGGTATTTTATAACTTAACTGAGGATGGAAGAATTTATTTCAATGAAACACAGGTGAGAAGTGCTCATGTTCATTGTGCTCTTTGCTGTCTTTTGCCACAAATTCTTTTCTTCCCATGATCTAAAATTAAATCTTTATTAGTGCCTGTTTTCTCCAAGGTAACATGGAAAAGAATAGCATAAAGATTGTGGTTACATTTTCTTAGAGAGAGTAACTGTACAATAAGGGTGAAACCCTTACCTAACCAACCTGGAGTCAATGGCAAAACTGCACCCCACTGAAAGCCTACAGTAAAGCCCTAAATGTCCAGCTATCAGAACTATTAGTTTAGGATTAGTGACATGCCTGGGTTTGAAGAAGGGAAAAGAAGATAGATTTTAAACAGCCTGAGGGATAGATAGTTCAAGGAGGCTGTACCAATCTTATCACCTGATCTTTAAATTAAAAAATAAATCACCTAACACACTGCACCTTACCATAGTCTTTGGGGCTACAAGTGAAGAATTCTGTATGTTTTTTTCCTCAAAGATAGTGCCCAATTCCTGTTTGAACTATTGCGTGTAGCTTGTAGCATGACTTTTGTTTTATTATATCAACATTGCACACTATGCACAGCTAAGACACATGTCTCAGCAGAGGGTCTCAGCCTCTACCATGTTGTCCACGATATGAGTTGTCCAAAATACGATCTTGTCACACTATTCTTTCATTCCCTCGTGGTGATACAGACCACCTCCCCTACAACAGCCTCAATGGAACTATCAGAATTACTTCCCATTTGGAAAATCTTTTTGTGTAACTTTACTACAGGAAACAGAGAGGAGTCCACATCCCCTGTCAAGCCTATCCATGCCCCACAGCATACAGAAAATATACAGAATATATAGAAAATACAAAAACAACCCCAAAACAAACATACATCATTCTTTACTTGTAGGTTCAGAGACTATGGTAAGGTACAGTGTGTTAGGTGATTTATTTTAGAATGAAAATGGCTGTGGTCCAGTTTTTAAGTGATAAGTGATGTTGGCTGATTAAATTTACTATAACTATTTAAATCCTTTTTGTTTGTTTTTTATTCTTTCAGTGGCTGATTTTTATCATGTACTGCTAAGGCAGTGGCACACTACAGAACTGTTGGTAAGGAATCATCTAAATACTCTGCGTTCATATATATGTATGTATGTATGTATAAAACGGTGGAAAAAGTTTCTCTGCAACTTGCTGTGACAAACTTATGCAAGTTACATGCCAACACATGACACACCACCATAATCCAACATAGTGGTGGAGTGTGCTGTGATCACAGGCAATTTGTGGCAGAAAGAAAACAAGCTGGGTTAGAGCTTAAAGAAAAAGGACTAGGAGCATCCAGAAGCCTCCTGGGTTTCTGTCACAGCTGAGCCACTAACTCACTGTGTGACCTTCAGCAAAGTCACTTGATTTTCTTATCAACCCAGCTGGAAAATTGAGTTAAAAAGTAGGAACTTTGCTGAAACCCAGAGGCTGCATCCAGATGAGTCTTCCTGGAACTATATATATATAGACATATAATGAGTGATGTTAAGAGAGATTCTGCGATGCACTTCCTCCTGCCTCTTGGTTACCCTTGTACTGTACTTAGAAGCCAAAAATGTAAATAATACATAGGGATTTAGCCCTGGTTCTGGATCCTCCCTGCTTACATAGCCCCTAGCTTGTCCCACTGTCTAGGGTGTGGAATTCATCTGAACTTTATGCTGTGGAGTTGTGCTGTTGCCTAAAGGCTTGGGGTCTGATGCTGCGTGGTAATGAACACCTCACTGAAGTGAGCAGAAATCATGAGTACACCAAATGTAGAAAATCAAAATCTTATTCCTTCAAGGTGCCAGGGCCAAAGTCTTAACAATCCCAGTTGCACAGCAAAATATATCTTCTGCTTAGGACACCCCAGAAGCAGCCAAGCTAAGCAGATGTTAGGTACAGGAAGCAGCCTCTGCAGGGTATTTATGTACAGAGCGGCCTTAGAGAAAATGCCACCCTGGGCAAACTTGTTTTGGGGCCCCCGCCACAGTGCCCCCCCGGCACCCTCCCCTAAGTCACCGGCACTGTGTGTGCGGGGTGTGTGTATGGGGGGGAATGAGGGGGTGTATGAGGGGGGTGGGTGTCTGGATGCATGTGTGGGGTGGGTGTGTGTGTGTATGTGTTGCGGGGTGTGGATATGTATGGGGACATGTGTGTGTGCATGAGGGTCACATCTGCCCCAGTAGTTACGGATGGCAGGGGATCCCATGGGCTGTCACAAGGCTGTGTGTGTCTTCTGAGATGCTGGCCTGGTGCTGGGTGGCAGGGGCTTGGCACGGAGTGGCAGGAAGGGCAGGCATCAGGCAGGACTGCCTGCATGGGAAGCCCAGCCCTGGCAGCAGAGCACTGCCACTCAGTGCCGCCCACCCTCGGCAGTGGTGGCAGTAGCCAAGGGGGCTGCAGCTTGGCCTCCAGCCCTAGCAGGTTGGTGATGGCAAAGCCCTTGATGCACAAGTCAGGGCTGCCCAACCCTTCTACCTTCTCACTGGGCAAAGCTACCTTATCTTTAGCCCAATCCTTGGTACCTTCCTCCCAGACTGTCATGCTTTCTGGCAGTGCCTGCAACCACCACCTGGGTGCTTTATATGTGTCTGGTCAGCTCCAATCTGCTCTGGGTGTGGCCAGGGGAATAGACTCCACTGCTCAGCCCCCAGGTCTAGTTGGCACTGAAGTCCTACGACAGCTCCTGCCTGGCATAAGCAACTGGGCAAGGCAGGGCAAGTGCATGCGTGCATGCATGCGTGCATGTGTATATGGCGTCCCCTGTCCACGGCATCTTGGGCGGTTGCCCCGCCATCCATCTCTACAGCTGGCTCTGCTTATGCAGCTGTGATAGGGTGGCTACAAGGATCTGGGCAGAAATTCAGCCTGTGTTCTTCACCTAGCCCATGCTAACACCTCCTTTTTCCTCTGAATGCTATTGCACAGACAGCCTGCACTAATCAGGGCTCCATACGTGTTCACATCATACCCCTCCTTCTTCAGAAAGGCCCCTCATCAACTTCAAGAGTGAAGTGGATTTGCTTCTATGTCCTCTAAAGGCTAGAACTACCAAAGGACTGGTAGGGGGTTGGACTAAATGACCTCTGGATCCCAGACCAACTTCTCTGTGATTTTGCATATGTCCAGGACTGCTCCAATCTGGACATCTAGCTTTGCATAGGCTCCAACTTTTATTTTTGCTGGGGGCGGGCTAAAATGATTTCCCACCCCCCTGCCCCGGCAGCACAGCCAGAGCCTGTGGGAGGGCAGGGGCAGATGCAGGCTGCCCGCTGCAGGGTCAGG